TTAATTGTAATTTGCCCAAGAACCCTGTGAAATAAGTACAACCCTGATCCACATTTCACTGGTGGAGGACTGAGCCTTCGAGGGGTCCCAAAAGCCCCCCAGGTCCCACAGTCAGTGAGTGATCTGACTACACGGTGGGCCCCGGGCTTTATGGCGGCACCTGCTGCCTGCTGACAGGTGACATCCCTCACGGCTTTCTCTCTACTGGAAATAAGGGTTATTCTGTCCACCGTTCAGAGGCCCCCCTCCCCCTCCTCTTCTAAGCGCAGCCCAAATGCTACTTTATCCTTGAGTTACTTACTCCAGGTGACTGTGATCTCAACACCCGCCTCCCCAAATTCCTCTGAGTCTTTGCTACTCAGAGTGTCACAGACCAGCAGCTGGGCATCACCAGGGGCTAGTTGGAAATGACCCCAGATCTCCTCAATCAGAAGCTGCATTTTAATGAGATCTCCCAGTGGCTCATGTGTAAACATTGAGAACTGCAGTATGGGATTTTTCTTCTTTGCTTTGTATCTCGGCACACCTGCTTTAATTCTCAGTTAAACCGTAAGCTCTTTGAGGGCAGGAAGGTATAAAATTCTCTTTTAAGTATTCCTAAATATACACAGCATAGAAAAAGGCGTATAATTTGTTTCATGATATTACACGGCACTTCCATTAAACAGTTTAGATCATTTCCTAGGTCAAAAAGTACTGGGTTATTTGGAATAACTTTTCCCCACATGCATTATGAAATATTGACGATTATTTTGCTTGTAATGTTTCCACACAGTCGGGCTTTTGATAACGGTGAAAATGTTAAGAGGTATAATCTAAGTCCCTAAAATAAAACTTTCATTCTTCCCAGAGCCTTCGGTCTATAATCAGCCCTTGTGACACAACATCTTTCATTGCCAAAGCACAAATATAGATATGACAGATTTTTGGAGAAAAATCAATACTTAGAAAATAGAAACGCGAAAGCTGAAGGCTCCAATCAGTTTCACATGTGAAGTTCTGCGGTTTGTCTGCGGTCGGAACGAGCACTGTCTTCCAAGAAGCTTGGAATGGGATTTTGTTTTGACGAATGTTTGATTCCAAGCTCTCTTTTAGAGCAGATGTGGTTCATAGCAAAACTTCAGTCACTGCAGATGCTCCTGGATCACTTGCTGTTTATGTGCCAAGGACCAATAATTAAAGTTATTGATTTTTGAAGTGATCACTGTGTGTTTGCTCGTCCTTTATCGAGACCCAGTGTTTGCATGTGTTCGTACTTCTAAATGTTCTCAGTGAGTGTGACCGGCTGATGGCTGGGATTGGCAGATGTGGGGGACCCTTCAATCAGCTCCGTGTTGCAGCACAATCTGGCTTCTCTGTTCTTTTTTGCAGAATATGTAATTGGAGGACATGCATGCAAAGAAAAGAGGGGAGAATGCCTGTAGGTGGTGATTCTTTTTTTTTTTTTTAACTTCTACTGGCTCCATTTTAGTAGTCAACGTGACCTCTCGTGTAGTTCCAAATCTAAAAATGGTCTGAACATAAATCTGCTCTTTGGAGCTGACAAAATCCTTCGGTTCAGGGAGGGTTCCATGTTACCTCTTTTTAGAATTCTTTTCTCTGTGCGTGCGTGCGTGTGTGTGTGTGTGTGTGTGTGTGTGTGTGTGTGTTGTTTCAGTCAGCGGCTCCCTTCCCACCTAAGGCGTTGATTTGCTCACTCCCTTATGTGATGAATCAATGCTTCCAGAACGGGGGCTCCCGAGGGACTGCGGGAACAATCACTTCCAAATGAACTCGTGCATCCTAGCCGGGAGCGTTCAGACCGCACCCCAGGTAAAAGGAAGTCTTTCCTTAATGCTTTCAAGAACTTTTAAAGGCTCTGCACTGTGGTGTTGGCTGCAAGTGGGTTTGAGGGAGAGCTGCCTGGGGGTAGGTCAGTTTCGCTATACGCAAAGGAAATGTTACAGACAGTTAGGGGAAAGGATGAGCAGATAGAAGCAAAACTGCTTACTGGCAATCAAAGATGCTCGGGACAGTCCTTGGCGTGGCATGTGTGCCCAGACACCCTGTAATGTTTCTTCTCAACAGGAGGCTAGTGGCCATCTGTGAGTGTGGGTGTCAACATAGCAAGGGAAAGAACTTTCACAGAAATAGAAGAAGGGAAGGCACTGTAGCTCAGGACTGAGCAAAAGTGCAAACAGCCTGCATGGCACGGGGGTGAACAGTCTCTTAAATCATTAGCCAGCTGTCCGGTGAGAAGGGACAGTCTCAGTTTCGAGCCCTTGAAACCATATTTAGGAAGAGCTTTTAATCCTTTCGGCTCTAATTTCTATGATTAAAGTGGTTTCCCAAGGAGAGGAACTAAGATGTGTTTTTAAGCAACGTCGACAACTGAAAGTGTTAATTGGTATTTAACAAATGCAATGGTATTAACATGCATCTGTTTCTGCTCTGTGTGGGAAATGAGTTTTCATCACCATAGCAATTCATTTCTGGGCTCCGTTGGAACTGGGCCACAGTATGCAGTAAATGGCACTTTATTTTATTTTTCTTTTCTGAATAAGGGATTCAGCAGTCAACCAGCTAACACGGGGCTCTTCATCTACATGTTGTATAGTGTCACTAGTATGATTTCAAATCCTTTTCCAACTAAATTCTGTGCAAAAAAAAAAAATTCCGTACATCTTTGGTAGGATAAGAGGATGATAGGTAAAAGTGATGAAAAGAACTGCATGATAACGTACTCCCAGCTTAAAAGCGAATACCAAACCATGGCCCCCTTTTTGTGGTTGTTCTTCTGAGGCTCTGTGTGTGGACAGGAATTTATCCCTGGTCTTTTCCGTAGCAGTAACCTAGGAAGATGAATAAAGTCTTTATTAGTACAATTGGATTTTCCATTTTTATGTTATGCTTGAATGACATCATACGTTGGTTCCACTAAAATTAAAAAATAGTGCACTCCTACACTGGTGAAGAAATTTTATATAGGAAATGAAAAAAGGAAATTTTACGTAGGAAATGGATGTTTCTGTAGGAATCTGTAACAATAAAGTAGAAGGAAACAATTCTACTTATTTTCAGTTGCTTTTATTGTCAACCTGCGGTTATGTTGAGAAATTCCTTGGAGGACAGTGTTCTAAAAGCGCACCTTATTCATTGAAGCATCGGTGTTTATTCATACTTTGTTTCCATTTTATTCACTAAAATTGTAGCTATTAACCTTTAAAAAGTCAATCGTTTATAACGTATCGATAGCAACCACCTATTTGTATTTTAAATACTTCAGTAGCAAGCCTTTTGGAGAAGGGAATTTTTGTCACTGTACATGCTTTAGAAGGCAAAGTTACTGTTAATGATGGTTATGTGTATTTTGTAACCACAGGACACTTACACTGAAGGCTTTCATGCATCAGTATTTAAATTTCCTCCGGATAAAACCTACGATACACCTGTCATTGTCATGTGGGGAGATGAGGGCAGGCTTACAGAGCCTGAGGACAAAGTCACAATTCCACCTCTCCTCTGACTCCTAAAAGACGATCTTTATTTCCTACCCAAATGAAATTCTACGATGAACTATCTGAACTACCCTCAGTGATTTCCTTGCTGAAACCCCGTCTCCATCCATCATGATATTGATGAGATGAGTCATATAAAGAAACCTTCCCGGAAAATAATCCATCAGGAAAGTGTGCAGAATTGAGTATCACTGATGACACTTAGTGGGCTCCCCAGATCTCACAAGGGATGTCATGTCCCTTCCTACAAAGGAAAGCATTGGTTTATTATTTTCTGATGATAAGCTACAGCCCAGGAATGGTGCCATGACTGTGATGGGGGAATAATGACAATTTTTTTTGGAAGTATAGTCAGCTTACAATGTTGTGTCAATTTCTGGTGTACAGAGTAATAGTTCAGTCATACAGATGCATACATATATTTGTGTTCTTACTCTTTTTCATTACAGGTTACTACAAGATGTTGAATATAGTTCCCTGTGCTGTACAGGAGGACCCTGTTGTGTATATACTTTCTATAGCACCTTCTTCTCCCTTTCCACGTGGCCCCCCATCTGCCGCTCTTGGCTTTCTGACCTAATTCCGATCTCGTGTCTTTAAAAACCGGCATTAGCTATCCAAAATTCTAATGTGACGATGCCACGCACAATCTACGGGACTTTCACGGTTGCTTGTTGTCAATAGGACAAAATCCAGGCTTGGTCCTCACCCCACCATTGACGCTTTCTTTATTTTTTGCTCAGTCAGGGTCCTCATCTTCCTCTCCCCCGGGGCTTCAGTTTCAGGTGCTGCCTTTTGCAGAGTTTCCCAGACTGGGCAGCATCCCTCATGACACTTCCCTTCCTCTCCTGTGCCCATGCTTTCCCTGCCTGTGTGTGGTCTGTTGACCGTTTCCTCTTCACGATTGTCGCCTGAGCTCCCAAGGGCCTCCGCACAGCAAGTACTTAACAAGATGATTTTTGAATGAATAAAGAAGGAAGGAAAGAGAGGGTATTTCCCTGAGAAGAGGCAGGGGTAGTCCGACAGCCAGAAAAGTAAACTTTCCACCTTCGGTCCGTATTTGAACCCTCTCGATAACGATCTCTGTTGGAAGTTTCATGTGTGCTTGGGGATTGAGAGCCAGCTCAGACTTGCTAAACCCAGGGCTAAATGGATACAAGTCAATTGCAGAGCAGACCAGATGCTGTGTTTGCGATGACACCACAGAGGTACAGATGCCTTATGCCAGCTGGTCGACTTGTCCCCCTGCCCTTTCCTTGCTCTGTCCTATAGTGGGATCTTCCTGGGGTTGTATTTCTTTCTCTGAGAAATATTTTTCATAAAAAAAGGATCTGATACACTCTGAATATTTTAATGGCTGTTCTCTTTGGCAACCATACACACGATCACAGAGTAACAGGCAATTTATCAAAATCAATGAGGTAAATATCACAATATATAGAGAACGAAGTCAAGGTGAACCTTTAAGAAGACTGAAAGTCTCATTTATTACGTGTCTCATAGGTCTCTTCTGGTGACTCTGAAGCCAAACCTCTGATCTTCACATTTGTTCCCACTGTCAGAAGACTACCAACCCACTCCCAGTTGACTGACACCTCTAAATTCCTTGTTAAAATCCCTGAGGAGCCAAGCGATAAGACTCCAGAAACTGTAAATAGGGTAGGATTATTTTTATTATTTTTTTATATCAAGCAATTAACATTAAATTATCCATAGTAATGACTTGAAAATCTGTATGAATGTTCATTTTCTCTGCTTAAAGTGAGATGACTGTGATTGGCTAAAAATATAGTTATGTAACAGGAGCTTCAAGTCCCGGGTTCTCTCCAATACATTATTCTCAGCACTTTGGATCAGACGTCCTGTGGTTTGCTGTTCACATGATATATTCTGCCTCTTGGCATCCCCTGCTCCCAAATGTATCTTAAAATAATAAAAGCAAATTTTTTTAAAAGTTTAAATTTATCTTCATAGAGAAAATACTAGATAGAGTGAGGTATTATTATTATTATTATTAATTATTTTAGTTCAAAATTTGTAGATACTGGCAGGCATATGTAGAATAGATAAACAAGATTATACTGTATAGCACAGGAAAATATATACAAGATCGAGTGAGGTATTATTTTGTGTGTAACAGATTAGCAACAGTAAAAAAATGTAATAGTCGATGTTAGGACAATTGTCGAGATACTGGCATGCTCACACTTTGTTGCTAGTTTTGTGGATTTGGGTAATTTGAGTGGAAAACCCTTATCCACAGTGCTAAGAACGTTTCAGTAACCTTTCAGTGATCTGACTCTTGGAAATGTGTCCCAGAGAAACAGTACGAAAGAAGAAAAGTGTTACGTAGGAAAATAATTAGAGAAAAATAAAAATGGCCCAATGTGTAACAGTCAGAGAAACGCGGAGACTATGACAGCACATCACCTTGACAAAGTTACAGCCATCATGATGATGTAATTTCCTGGAGCATGTTAATTTGTATACTACTGAGTGATCCAGTAGGTTGTAAGATGGTATTTATACCCTGATGATTCCTCTCTAAAGTGAGACCAAGACTGAAAATGAAATTCAAACAAGCAAACAAAAACCTAAACATGACTTATGCTAAAATAATGACATTCTGGGTAAAAAAAAATTTTTTTTCTCTTTAAAATGTATTTTAATACTGTCTTGTAAGAAACAAAATGTGACGGAGGGAGCTCTGTGGTATTTGTGAGCCAATTTGCAGAAGATAGAATTGTCTGATTTTCCTCGTCTATGTGAAAACATTCTATCTAGAGAGTAATAATATATTTATCTGTGAACCTGGAACTTACAATGCTACCTTATTTCAAAGACTGTTGGGACCAAATTATTTCAGAGAAACCCTGAATGCTATGTAAGGCATTTCTGGGAAGTTTGTCCCCAGCAGTACTCAAGTATATATAATATACTCATGGGATCTTTCTGTTATTAGGTGCTCTGAGTGGGTGAGACCGTAGATACAAGAATCAACCTTGGTTGCAGACTCCAAAGCTCCCTAAAATAATGATATTCATCTGCTGATACATTGGTGCCAACACAACCACATCTTTAAAAGATTAAAGGTTTTTCTTCCTGTTTTTAAAACAATTCACTATTCTAATAGAACAGGGTAGATAATCCCTCATCCTTTACATATTTAAAACTATTTACTGAACACACGCCACGTGCTTGGTGCTATGGATTCCGAATGAATAAAGTCAACTCATGTAACTTATTTGTTATCAGGAAGGCAGACAATGAAACCAGTAAAAAGGAGATAATAAAATCTCAGGTGGTGATAAATGTAAGAAAAATACCTCAGAATAAAGTAATAGAGAATAATGGACTGTGGATGGAGGGAGTTATTTGAGATCATTAATAATGTTTCCAAAGACTAGTTCAACTTTGCCAGCTCTCTAGTGATTCTGTTAACTTCCCATGTGATAAGCAATCTGTCTTTGAATCCTCTGATTTTTAATTTGAACTTCCTTCCTATCCGGGTTTTGTTACTACCTAGTGTTGTAATTTAATATACGAAATGACCATGGTCAGAGAAATCCTAATCAGAGGCAACTTGGGTTTTATCTTGACTACGATCATCAGCTAAAAAGTGTGGAATGAGGGTCTGAAGTCACCTCCTTTGTTTAGTTGTATCTAGTCCACGGTTGGACTATTCTGTCTTCACATACACAACACATAATACATATGAGCCCACATTAAGTTGACGGCCATAGTTGAAATTTAGTTTATTTTGGTTTATTTACTGTCTTTAACTTTCTATTTCGAAATAATGTGAAACTTAAAGAAAAGTTGCAAGGAAGAGAAGAATAGTAACCATAGTATGATGATCAAAACCCAGAGAATTAACCTTGGGTCTTTTAAACACAATCTTAGTGTACGTAGCTGCTATAATTATAGAAAAAGATGCTTTAGTGCGTAATAAAGCTGTCTCTCCCCCCTGGTCTTGTAAACCTTCTATGTATTCAGAGAAAATTGGACGGGAGAAAACTGAGAATTACAAATCCAAAATAAAATAACAGTTAAAAAATACTTTGCACTAAAAATATCTGTCTTTCTTGGTATCCTATTCATGAGTTCTTCCCAATCAGCTTGGATTGTTTTGTTTGAATTTCTGTGCATTTTGTTCCAATTCTACTTTTCTTCTCAAACTTTTAGAGAGTCATATTATTTTAGAACTTTTCAATGGGATTTCCTTTCTCCCCGGCTTCTGCAGGATATACAGGGTTTTCTTGACCATTAACTAAATGCTTGACTAGTCCCCATTTGTTTCATGAATATCTTTATGGAAAGCATTGCTCCTTTCCTCTCTTCATAAAAAGTCATATCAGGATTTATTGGAAAGCAGGTTTGTTCATTGATGTTGATTCTAAACCCTAAATTATATGAACTTGGACCAGAATGAACAAGCAGGTTAGTAAAAGTAATCCACTAATTTCAACCCAATCTCTCCTAAGCCAATCTGATTTTTAGATATATTTTTAAAAACTCTTGTCCTTGGAGATTATAAGCAGGTTAAGCTTTTAAGGGTACGTGCAAAAAAGAAGCATTTGTCAAATCGATGTCAACGCTTTTATGTCTCTACGTTTATTGCAGTCTAATTCCAATGAGTACTTGACCTTGAATGCTGGGAGCCAACGGGAGAGAGACGGAGGAACGTTGACTTATCCTTTAGAGGTGAAGGACAAGATTTCACAAGGAAAGGGACTGAAAGCAAACGAACCTCAAGGAATGCAGCAGAGTGACCTCTTCAAAGCTGAGTATGTCTTCATTGTGGACTCTGAAGGAGAGGACGAAGCTCCAAGCAGACAGGGTGAACAGGGCCCCCCAGCGGGGGTGGACACCACAGCTGCTCGGCCCCGGTCTCTGGCCCTCTCCTCCAGTCTGGCCTCTGACGTGGTGCGCCCCAAAACCCGGGGGGCCGACCTCCAGGCCCCACCACATCCTGACATGCCCCATGGAGTGGCTCCTCAGCAAAAACATGGGCAGGTAGGTTTTTCTTCTTGTCATTTAAAAGAAAATGTTTCTATTTAACACCCTTGTTCTAGACTGTCTGCAGAGTCCTTCCTATTTAGTCAAGGCCTACAAAACTCCCAAAGAAAAGGATGTTAAAAACCTAAATCCCAAGGTCATAAATCATCACAGTGTAAATACAGATACTATGTTCTTAAGACAAAAAGGATGACACACAATTTTACTGTGGATTGGCTGAAGAGCACATGCAAAACACTCAGCCGGAGTGGAGTTGGGGGAATGTTAACTCTTCCTTCTGAAAATTCTCGGGAGAAGGTTGGCAGTGGGAGTTTCTTGGGAGAGAGAGCCTGATGGAGACGTGAGAAAGCCCCGCCGAAAAGACATCAACTGGGGATTAGTCGTAGACACGTTACTCTGAAACAAGTGAAAGAGTAATAAAAGGAGCCACGAGGTAATAAGAGCGTGGAAGGAAAATCGTTCCCTCCTGCACATCTTAAGGGAAATACCTATTGTGTTCCTGAAGCCACCAGAAGCAGGGCCGTTCTCAGTGGATTGGGGAGAAGAACCTATCCCCAAAACTGAGCTGCAAGATTGAATGGTTCCTTTAAGGGGGAGAGCCTTTGATACAGTAGAAGAAGACCCATGCCTGTGATGGCGAGAGTAAAGGGATGGGTAGGGAGAGATTTGGAAGGGAAAGAAATAGAGTGACTGGCTATTTGTTGTCATGAAGTTGTAAGATGACTTTGACGAGATGTAGAGAGGATGTCAGGAATGCAGAGGCTGGCCTGGGGAGCAAGTAATGGGTACAGAGCGCTCTCCTTGACAATGAGCATGAGTTGGTACCCAAATGCCCCATTTAGGAGCTGCTAGACCAGGCATTTGCAAGCATCTCAGAGTAACTGGAAGAACATGTTTATTGGTGAGTTGGCTTTTTGGAGCTACTAGGACGCATGCAAAATGGTAGAGCAGGCATCTTATTTTTGGTGCCACCCCATCTTTATGTCTGCAGCTTTTGCTGACTTCCCGATGCTGCACTGATGTCACCTTCAAGCATTCAGTATCCTCATGCCACCTTTTGGTGCTGGAAGACTCTCACTGGGGTACCACCACCACCCAGGTCTATTGGACTAAAAGATTGATTTCTTCTTGAAATTTATTCTCAGCTAGTTATTGGAAATATTCTAATCATATAATTAAGCATCTTCTCAGTCAATGGTGATAAGCTTAAACATTTCTTTCCTGCCTTTGGAAGGATGGTGGAATAACCAATTTGGAGATGTGGCCATTGACATAGTCAGTGGAGGGTACTTTAATGTGGCCCCTTTGAAGAACATGTAGACACGGCGATACCAAATATAAGCGAAGAAAAATACCCTCAATGAAGCAAAGTTTGGAATTTTAATTTACTCTTTTCCCCAATTGATAGATTTCTTCTGCTGAGTTGGTCATTTATTTTGTTTTCATGGGATCATATATATAGAGTCCAAACTAGAGACTAAACACATATGTGGATTTTTTTTTTTTTGCCAGAATAGGTTAGAAGTAGGTTATAGTTCATGTTGTCAAAGCTTCAAATGAAAAGGTAAAGCTCAGCCTGATTCATTAGTGGTGGCAGAACATTCTGATCACCACAGGAGGAGGACTGCTGGGTCCTGAAATGTTTGGGAATCGCCATTGTTCCTGATTCCATTTCCTGTAATAATCCCCTTGAGCAACGGGTACTAGGTCATCATGAAATAAAAATAAGATGACTGTTACCCACAGATGTAAACTAAACATCAACGACCAGATCATCAAAGAAGGCACTCAGAAGTTTCACGTAGTCAGGAGTCAAAGCTTAGCGTAAAAAGCCTAAAGATGTTTCCATCATTTGATCACCTGGTACCAGTCACATTAGTCTTTCAATCAGAAATGCAGTTAATTAAGTGTCCTTCTGGTCTACCTGGTAAAAATGAACCCACGTACAGAATTGTCTACAAATTAGCACTAGCAGTAAGTCAGGAGAAATTTATGAAGATATTCCAAAAAAAAAATGTCCTTAGTTCTTATTCTGACCATAGTCTGACCATAGTCTGACCACCTGCCTAGGTGTCATTTTTCTGTCCACCTCTTGTACCTTTCTTCTTCAGCTCTCTTGAACCATCAGCCAAGCACATGCTTCCTACCTTTGCATCCCTGGGCTCTTCATTCCTGTGTGTGATGCTTCTTTCCTCCCCAGCCTGCCTTCATGTTGGTCTTGGCTACTCGAAGCTCAGTTCAAGTAGCACCTTTTCCCAGAGACATTCCCTTTAAAGAGGAGTTAGGTTTTCTCCTGAATTTTGTCACTTTCCTTAGAGTTTGTAACCTTTTTTTTTTGAAAATCTCCGATTTAACTCCTTTTATGTTTATAACCTGATTATAATCATTGAGTTTATTTTTCTTCCTCACTAGACTGAGAACCACTTGAAGTCGAGGTCTGTCTCTTGTTCATTTCTGTGTCTTTAGCACTTAGTGTAGTGTCTTGTGTATATGTAGGTTCAATAAGGTGTATGAAAAGTATACGTATTTAAAATTTCACATTGTTGAAGTCTTTGTTCAGATGTTGGCTCCTTCACGAAGCCCGCTTTGGTTCCTTCAGTGAAAGCAAACTCTCCCTCAATATATTTCTGGTAGCCTTTTCTGTACATTTTTATAACAGTTACCCTATCCCAGCAAGTATTATACACATTTAAGTTTATGCCTTATCTCCTCTAGCAGATTGGGAAGTCTTGAAAGGTAAAGTCCAGGTTAAATTCATTTTTATTAAACATTTTGTTCCCTATAATGGTTACTGTATTATCTTGAGCATAGTCAATATAAATACTGAGTTGAGTGTACTTTGTGTTCCAAATATTTTTGTTGAAGTGGCACATTTAAGTAAAAGCACATTGTCAAAAAATCACCAACAAACTAAAAAATTGAAAGTGTTAAGTCAAAAGTAAAAAGGCTATATAAGCAGTTGAGTGAAAACTTTCTCAGATAAAATTCAGAAAAAAATCAGTAATATTTTTGAATGTCAGTGTCTTGAATGTTGGTGTCAAGGTCTAAGAATTGTCTTACCTAAGGATGCTATTAGACTTAAGAGAGAGGTGGCTTAGCTATGGTGAAACCTGGAGCTGAGGCAGTGGCACTGGGAATAAAAAAGAAGGACTTTTTAGAGGGGAGGATATAGTTCAAGTGGTAGAGCCCATGCTTAGCATGCACGAGGTCCTGGGTTCAATCCCCAGTACCTCCTCTAGAAAGAAATAAACCTAATTACCCTCCTCCCCACCAAAATACAATAATTAAATAATACAATAATAAATAAATTGGAATTTAAAAAAAGAAGGACCTTTTTGGGTAGAATTAACTGGAGTTGTTCATTGACAGTATATGGAAAAAAATCAAGGGTGAATGAAATTTATAAGCCAGGAAACTGAGTGAATGTTGGCATTAATTGAGGAAAGAATTACAGGCTTTGGGAAGGGATAGGAAGAGATGAAACGTCTGATGTTGAACTTGAGATGCCTGGAGGTGCAGCACGATGCTCTCAGGAAGGAAGCTGGAAGGATGAATCTGGGCACAGGAGTGAGATGGGAGACTGGAGGTGTTTGCTATACACACCTAAGCTGTGAGGGTGGAGCTGTTTATTCATGGAAAGAATGCAGAACAGGAAGGCACCACACACAAGTCGGGAAACAGCAGGGTGTAGAGAGGTCCCTGAGAAGGAGATGGAGTGGGGGCCAAAGATGGTGAGAGGGACTTCATGCAGTGAAAACTAAAAGGCTGTTCAACCAGAAGAGTAGTTTATGAACAAGATCAGATAAATAAAATCTATATAAATGAATTAATCAATAGTTTTAAGGGTAGCTCAGTAATGTTTTCTTTATGAGACTCAGATGAATCTGGTATCAATCTTATCCATTTGGGAATACAAAATAATCACCTATGAAAGAACATTCTGGCAGCACGACTTGTTTCCCGCCTGGACGCGGAGTCATCACGTGTGATTTCCCATTTCTTTGCGGGGAGGAGCCCCTCCTCCAGAGAACGCGGCTTTCCTCGACAACACTGTACTTTTCATATTTTCTAGCTGCCTTACCGGGTTCTCTTTCTGTGCACCAGCCAGTCATTCTGCCAAGTGGGACAGCCAGGTTAACACACGCTGCTGCTCGATTTAGGAATGGTTAGAAGCTCAGCGATCAAGAGGCCAAGATCAAAGCTGAGGGGAGGGTCAAGAGGCCTTTTGCTGATAGAGCTGGAGGTGAAGCAGAGGGGCCCCTGCAGGGAGGTGTGTCCCCTGAAGGGAAGGGAGGGGACCCTCTCTCCTCTGGGAGTATTACTAGAACCAGAAGATGTGCAGGGGTGAGGCCAGGCATGTGAGGTCCGACCTGGCCACCATCCCAGTGTGGGAAATGGAAGCCCTTCCACTGCCCAGGTCAGCCCTCGGCCGGGCCCCTGTTCCCTGCTGGGAGACACGCCCCCTCTGAGCTCCTCCTCCTCAGTGGGAGGGGTTGGGCTTGTCTGGTGTCTGACCAGCTCGCCCTGCAAGAGCTGCCTTGTGCCTTCTGTTAAAATAGCATTATAATATATTATTTATGAAGATAATGTAATGTATAACACAATATAAAATCTTGTAAATATGGAAACAAGTAAAAATAAAATATGAAACGCAGTCAAATAAAGCAGGGCCCTCAAAGTCCATGAAATAGAGAAATGAGGAGGTCATTTGATGCCCTGAATGGGGCCAGTGTGAGAGGGCTGATGGGCCAGAAATCAAGTGGAGAAGTGATGAGGGAAGGGAGATCATACATTGGGAGAATGGTATGAAAAATTAAAAAAAAATGAGACCAGCAACTTACAGCCATGCTCCTCTGTGTAGTTACTTGAAATCATAAACCTCAGGGTCCTCATTGGTAGAATGGGGTGATGACATCAACCTCCCTGGTGAAGATTAAATGCGATGGTATATATGGCCTAGAATGGTTCCTGGCCCATGGTAGAGTCTCAGGAATCAT